AATTTGGATTCTCCTTTCTTCTTCATATAGTCTACCCCCTGGATTATTTACTCAGCATATTGAGTTAAAGTCCTCCAATTAAAAAATAAAAAGAAAAAAAGGTCATTTCTTAGAAATCTCAGTCAGTTTGAGTATCTACACAAACTGTACAAAGTTGACATAAAGCCTTTTAATTATATTTTCCTTGAAAAACAAATTAAGAATCACTTCCTCTTTACCTTTATTTAAATCATACTGCTGAGAGAATTGCATTCACAGTTGTGTTGGTTTTGCTTTCATTATGGTCTCTGTATTTTAATGTAACTAAATCTCACCATCTCAGATTTGATACTTCCCCCCCTTCTTCTAAAATCATTGAAATACAGTCACCCAAGTCATTCGCATCAGAGGTGTAAATGGATTTTTTTTTTTTAAGTTTTTCAGGCTACAATCAAAGCCTGTCACTTTGTGACTTGACTTCTTCAGGTGTTGCGTTTACAAAGCTTAACATACCACCTCAATTTCAAGGATGCAAAAACTGTCCTGACCTTGAATCTGAAAGGAAAGAATGGTGTCTTTTGCTAGAAATGCTTGCTCATATGCTGCCTTTTTGGTTTTCTTTCCTTTTTTTTTTTCTTCAGAATTTGCATAGGAAAGAGGGAAGAGAAGAAAAACTGCACTTCATTTTGAGAACATTACGTGTTTATTGGCCTTTCTGACTTCCAATGATTGTTAGTTAATTCTTTTTACCATTGATATGTGCAAAAAATTTTACTTAAAAAAGCATTAGCATTGTTATTTCCATAACCCATTAAGGCTTATTCATTTATATCATACTGTTGCAAAGAAATATTGAGTATGAAGCTTCTCTTAGGTTTACTCTTAAAATATAACACTTAGGAAATACCTTACGATTGCAAGGGTTTTATCTCCACCCAGCAAGAACACAAGCTCTGGAGTGTACGGAAATACTAGTTCACGTGGTCTTTAAGGTGTAGTTCCTTGCCTAGTGAATGAGGATAATAATAGTACCTACCTCCAAGAGTTATTCTAAGGATTCCATAACATACATACAATCTTTAGTTTAATATCTAACAAGAGAAAAGTACCCCTTATCTCAGCTCCTGTTATTTTAATAATTACTATGATGACTTCACAAAAACTTGATTATGGTGTCAAGAGTTACCGGTATGGTAGCTGACCCATTTCCTAACATATCTGAAAAAGTAGACTTCAGCCTTACATAATAAACCAGTCTTAGCTAATGAGCCTGGAGAACCTTTCTTGGGGAGGGAGGAGAGTCTTTAATACAGAATTACAAAGTACCTTTTATTCACTTGTTTTTGTTGACTCATAGCGACCCTGTGAACAACAGACCTGAACCCTGTCCTGTCCTGTCACATCCTCATCATTTCTGACATATACGCAAGCCCATTACTGCCGTCACTGTGTTAATCCATCTAGACCTTCAGGTCTTCCTCTTCTCTGACCTTCCAATGTTCCAAGCATGAGTTCTCTCTCCAAGAAATAGCCTCTCCTAGTAACATGCCCAAAGTATATGTGAGGGAGCTTTGGCATCTTTGCCTCCAAGGAATACTCTGGCTGTACTTTCTCCAAAACATATCTGTTTGTCCAAATAGGGCAGGGGAACATTACATAGTTTAAAATCGGAAAGGTGTGCATCAAGGCTGTATCCTTTCTCCAAACCTATGTAGTATATACACTGAACGAATCATTCAAGAAGCTGGATTTTGTGAAGAAGACAGGAGCAGAGGAAGACTAATCAATAAGCTGAGCCATGCAAATGACACAACCTGACTTGCTGAAAGAGACGGGGACTTGGAGGGAAGCACTTGCTATAGAAGATTAAAGACTTCAATATGGATTATATTTCAATATCAAGGAAACAAAAATTCTCACACTGGGCCAATAGACAGTGTCATGATAGATGGAGAAAAGATTAAAACTGTTAATGACTTGACTTTACTTGGATCCACAGTCAACACCCTCAGTACCAGCAGTCAGAAGATCAGGAAACATGCTGCACTGAAAAAGTCCCAGTCAAGGACCTCTCAAAATTGCTGAGGGGCAGGGCTGTCAGCGTGAAGACTAAAGTGTACCTGATTCAAGTCATGATCTTGTCAGTCACTTGCTATGCATCTGAGAGCTAGATGGTGAATAAGGATATGTCTTATTCCCTAGGAAACTAATATTTTAGAAACAAATATCCTAAGTCCTTGAAAGACAGGAAAGAAACTATTGTATGTTGGTGAATATTACACTTTAAGTACTCAGGGAGAAAAACATGCAGAGAATACTATTCTACTTTCCAGAATGACTTTATTGCTAAGCATTGGTGATTAATTTTGAGGTCAAGATCATACAGCAGTGAATATTAATGAAAGTATTATAGTAGAACTCTGTAAAGAACCATACTGGTTACTGAAATAACTCTTCAGTTACTAGTAGCGTATGGACTAAGTTCTGGATTTAGATTTTGAAGAAATGTGCTAAAGTCCAGCCTCTCATTTTTATTTCCTGTGAGACTTAAAGTTGATTATTTGGCTTTTCTGAACTTGCATTTTTCTCATGGGTACAATGAAGTTATTCTGTAACCTAATTCCCTCAATAGAGAAAGGCCAACTTTTGCAATGTTATGAAAGAGTTAATACAAAACACCATTAATATTATTGGTAGTATTAACTAAGACTCCAGGAGTTGGCCTCTGAGGCGTCAAGGAGATACGCTGACACAGTGGTTACAACAGTGAGTTTTCAGCACAGCAGAGGTGATGAGGTAAAAACTTTTGCTGTCTCACAGATCTTCTGCCTTGTTATTAGATGTTATTAGTGTTGTTGCTTTTCCATTATTAACCCCAATGCATATGTCTGTTATTCTTTAGCTGAATTTAAGAAAAGCCATAGATTATCAAGGTAATTTGGTTTGGTTAAGTTAGAAATGAAGTCAAATTTCTTCTCCATATATTAAAATCCGTGCCAACTCAACTTAGCACGCCGTCACTTGAAGTTCGTAAGTGGTGTCCCACTGTTGGTGAGACACTTCAGGCTCCTTGCTGTGTCATACGAGGCCTTTCGTGATCTGACTTCAGACCCCATGACTTCACATTTTCCTTTCTGCCCTGTTAGATACCTTGTAGATCTCTAAGGGGGTGCTGTACCTTCTCTTCCTGCTGTATGTTTCCCACTTTTCTGCTGGGCCAATTTTCTTTGATTACTAGAATTTGTTCATTGCTCCTCCTTGTCATGACTTCATTAAGAGAAATAATCCACCCTCTCTTTGACACCATTTTCTCCTTTGCACTAGTAGATTTAATCATATGTTTAATCAGCGGGCTCTGAAATAAGCAAAATATTATCATTTCCACATGAGGATGTAAAATTTTGGCCATGTAAAGTTTAAATGATATAAAATTACAGAGTTTAGAGTTCTTCCCAAAGTCTAATCTATATGTTATATCATTAGAAGACAGTTGTTATGTACTCTTAAGTTGGAACCAACTCATAGCTGTCGAGCAGGTTTTCCGAGGTAGTCTATCACATGGGAGGAGATTGCCATCTTTCTCCCATGGAGCAATTGGTGGATTCGAACTTCAGTCCTTTGGGTTGGCATTGCAGCTTCTCACCACTAAGTCACCAGAGCTCCTTAGAAGACAGAGAAACATTTTTTGCAGTCGGTACATGTAGCTCCCATAAATGTGCTAATGACAGCCTATTTCATAGAGAAAAATCAGTGGAATTACTAAGTCGTGGTACATATTTTAATTAATAAATTTTAAAATATAGCACGTAAAATGTTGTGTCCTGTTTGATAGTCAGTAAAAGTCCACTCAATAAAGAAACATTTATTCTCTTATCATAAGGTGTGCTTTTATTTTTCATTTTCATATGTGTATATGTTCAAGAAAATCATTATATTACTGTTCATATTAGATAACTCAGTTTCTCTTGAGTCAAATTCAAAATAATTTACTTTGATGATAAAGGGACTTCTTTATGAATACCAAAAAGATTTCCCCCACCTACCTCCCCCCCCCCAAAAAAAATGAAAGAATGTGTCGCAGAGTCTGGACACAGCATGGTCTGGGCTGGCTCGTTCGCTCCTTCCACTCTCTCACTCTCTCTCTAGCTCTCTCACACCTTTAAAGTCTCTGGAATTTTGTAGTCCCAAGTAGAATTCATTAATCAAAATATGAAATTCTTTTTCTTGTGTAAATCAGAATGAAGTTGAGAGAGGGAAAGAAAACACTACAAGGGACAAATAATCAACTGCAGCTTTAAAACGGAAACCTGTCATGTTAACTCCCAACCCAAACACCTAGTTTAAAGATTTACCTTCAAGAAACCTAAAAGCTTGTATCCTGCCTCATCGGCAGCAGCCTCAAACTGTTCCCTGTCATCGAAGAAAACAAATCTTTTGCTCTTTTCCGCCTAGGGGAGGCAGAGGGACTGAGGTGGTCCTATGTGGCTAAATTAGATGAAAGACTTGCCTTCCACCATGGCGACATGGAGTCTAATCAAGTGAAATGAGTTTTGAGATCCCAGCTCATTTCCTAGGGGAGATCAGTTCACATTACAAAATCACGACATCTCATTCATCACAACTGACGTGGTCTTTGCTCAGGAGAGGATCCCAACTGGGACTAAACCACCTGTCTTTCCTCAAAAAAGGGGGCACTTTATCCAAGTTAGAGTTGAAAGCTTTGGAGTAAGGAAGCTTGCCAGCCACAACTTCTATCGCCATGGTACATATGCACTGTAGGAGGGAACTACTTGCATTTAAAAAAAGAACAAGAAAAGTTTAAGGACGATTAGTGGTTATAGTTTTAATGATGTCAAATACAAATACTTGTAATGGCTATAAGTCAGCATTACTGTAAGGAGAGCCAAGGTTGGATATCTTAGGTTTTATTAAACAAAACTGAGAAGGATTAACATGTATCAGAGGTTAAAATGGTGCAGAAAGTGCTACTAAATGATTGTGATCTCTTTTCTTTCTTTCAGGGCATCATTATAACACCGGTGCTGCTGCTGCTTTTTGTAAGTACTCTGATGTTGTCTTTACTGGTTTTTGTTACAAGCTATCTACAAGCTCTTAAGAAAGATCACTAGAATAAACTTGAAATTTGAATTCTTTTTTGCACCAATTAAAATCAACTTCTTAACATTCTACTGGTTGAACTGTACTAAATTATCAAACTCAGATGCAAAGAAGCTACACTGTCTCAAGATCCAGGTACAGTATCCTGATCCAGTTATTTGGATCTTTGACTTCTGGTTAAATCATTATTGTTATTGCTAGGTACTGATGAGTTTAATACGACTTATAAAGACAGACCTAGACTCTACCCTGTCCTGCACCATCCTCAACATCTCTGACACACTAGAGCCCCATTGCTGAAACCCCTGTGTCAATCCATCTGCTTGAGGGTCTTCTTCTCTTTTGTTGACCCTTTGTCTTTCTAAACGTGATATCCCTTTTTGAGAAATAGCCTCTCCTAACAACATGTCCAAAGTATGAAAGACAAAGCTTCACTATCTTTGCCGCCAGTGAGCACTCTATTAGTTAGTCTAAATAAATGGGTTGTAACACCCGTCACAAACTTGGTATTCTTTGTTTTTCTCATTGTCATCAAGTCAGAACTGACTCATAACTGACCCACCAGTGTGTTTCTCAACCTGTAAATCACACAAGAAGAGATTTCCCTTCTTTCTCTCTCAGAGTTCCTGTTGGATTTGAACCTACAAACAGGAAAGCATTGGTGTTAACAGCTTAGCCCCATGGTTAAAGTAATTGGTAGCGATTGTTAGTGTTTGACAGACAAGGCCTTGGACTTCAGAAGAAGCTTAAAATTTCAAAGCTGATACTGATAATAACTAACTTCCTTACTTTAGAAAATGCTTTCCGTTTTCTCATCTGTAGAATAGAGAAAAGGACCCACTTACCTCATTTTCTCTTTCAGGAACAATAAAACATGCTTTAGAAATAAGGAAATACAAGTCAGTTACAAACTACTGGTAACTAAACAAAAATTGTTCTGAAAACAGGAAATGCTAATTAACTGCCTTATTTCTTTTGGCATTAAGCACATGAAAAATTAGATGAAGGATTATAATAGAAATTAATGTTATCTCATGCTGAGCAAAGCATATGTAATCATGAATGATACCTAAAATATTTCATGAACTGTGCATTTTCTTCAGACACACATCTCCCAAATATAAATCACTTCACTTATCACTGAAATGTGGTGGGGATGCCTTTCTGGGAGTGAATTGTAGCTGTTTGACTAGCCCTATTTGTCAGTAAATTAAAACTATGGGGAAAATTTATTTAATTATAGTGTAATTACCCAAGTTGGAATTCAATTAGAGTAATAGAGTGAGAGGCCTCATTTCTTACAAGCTGTGTGGGATATAAAGAGGGATAAAATCCTAAACAGTTGGGTTCTGCATCTTTCATGAAAGACATTACCGTCAGGTACATACAGCTCATCCTTCCCTCCCCTATTGAAATGCTAGCTCCGAATTGACAAGGGAAGAATGCCATCATCAGATCACTCCCCTTGGCATAGAAAAACCTCATTAATTTGGACTTTACCAGTTGAGAATGTGCAGTGAGTCAAACGGAAGCTCAAGTGAAACTTTATTTGCTTTAATTTGGAAGAAAGGACTGTGTATACTTACCTCTTCTCTGAGTGCAAGGAACTGTGCTTTTTTTAACAGCGAGCCTAAGAAACGATTTCTTGGCCTTCAGCAGGCACAGGGCAGGCTAGTCTGCATTTCCCCCACGTGCCCTGTGTCAAGGGTCTAGTATGGAATTTGGCACCTAGTAAGAGTTGGTGTTGGATAGCTTAGATTTTTCCACTGTGTAAGATTGGGAGCTCTTACTTATGTGACTCTTTTAAGGAGACTAGGGAGGATGTTGCCTCCAAAATGAAGTGGCCTGAGACCTAGTGTGGTACTTTTGAGTGTCTCTGAATTTGGTATTTCTGGTACTTTGTTTCATCTCATGATTATAAAACCAAGAAAACACTTTCTCTCATTCCCATCTCCATGAACTAACAAAATTTTTCTGTGCTGGCTTAACATAGCATTGTATTTTTGAAATTTTTCCATTACTCATAGAGCCATAGACTTGTGAGCTTGAGTTAGTTCAAACATTTTAAAATAATAAAACTATAAGAAATAGTGGAAAAAAAGATGCCAGAACTCTTATTATAAGTCTAAATGTTTGTTTCTTTCTGAATCAACTGGATTGCTTTAATAGGGCCAAAGGCAGTATGTCACAACATAGCAGATATTTCCATGATATGGGGCTTTAAATCATGTTTATTTTGTGTGATACTTTTTGTTTGTTTAAGTTGCCTGCATTTTTCCAACAGTCAGAATTGCTTAAACACTTTGGTTATCAGGATTCATCTGATGGGTTGGTAACTTGAACCACTTAAAACATGAACCTATTTTATAAAAGATGCAGTGTATTTTTACCTCTCAAAACTACATTGTCTTACTTACATGTTATCATATTTTGAAAATTAAGATTCTGGAAATGTACATAGTGAAGACCTTTTTTTTTGCTGATGGAATCTCAGCCCTCATATTCTTAACCTCTTCTCAGATTCCCTCCTTCACCTTCTTATAACAACTGAAATGTTTCTTGTGATTTTTATTGTTTCTGCAGACCTCTTTTATATCACTATGCCTTGAAATGTGGCACAATGTCTTCCTTGCCCTTTATTGCCTATTGCATGTAATTTCCTAATTCTTCATAAAATCTCCTAATCCAATCCCTTCAAAAATTATATTACTATGATTATACCTCTTGATCTCAAGCGCCTGTGGTTCAAATACACCAGCTGCTCCATGGGGGAAGGATGGACAGTCTCCTCTTGTGTGATTAAACTGCCTGTGAAAACCTGCCAGAGGATCTGCTATGGGTGGGTTCGGACTCGATGGCAAACGGCAGAAAGCATACCTCTTATAGAGGGTTCAGTGCCCTTGTGTACGGGGAGTTGCATTGCCAACTCAAATGCAAGTTGATTGGATCCAGTTTTTCTGAGTGAAAAAGTGAACAATCTTCTGTGCATTGTACAGCCTTTGAAACTCCACTGGAGGAATAGAGTAGAAGGCAATTATGAGTTTCCAACTATGAATTGGTTCCAATTATCTCAGTCACAAAACAACATACTTCTGTGTAGGGAGCCCTGGCAGCCTGCTGGGTGACTGGGTGGGGAGTTATGCTGCCCACACAAAGGCCAGCTGGTCAAATCCTCCAGCCAGTCCATGGGGGGGAAAAAAAGGGCGGTCTCCTTTCCTGTGATTTACAACCACTGAAAATCCACTGCAGGGTTACTATACAGTCTATTCCAACTTGAAGGCAAAGAGTGAGTGAGTGATAGCTCTTTGTTGTAATTATCAGTAAAATCTCAGGTCACTATCAACCAAAAATTATCACCTCATCATTATCTTCTTTTTAACACTGGGTCGCTAAGTGCTATCCAGTAGGCACCAACTCAGAGTGGAGTCTACTGTCTACAACAGTAGGAAACTCTACCTGATCTTGCCATCTTCACAATCTTTGTTGTGCTAACACCAGTTGTTCCAGTCTCTGAATCAATCCATCTCTTTGAGACTCTTCCTCTATTTCACTGACCCTCTGCATTTTTCCAAACATGATGTTCTTTCCAAGGACTGGACTCTCCTCATAGCATGTCCAAAGTATGTGGCAGAAAAATCTCACTGTCTTTCCTTCTAAGAACACTAGACTTACTTGGAAAGACTATAGTTACATTTTTACATTCACTATCAACAACTTTGCTCATCTCTTAGTTCTTCCTGTTTGCCTGGTGAAACACGCAAACTCAAAGAAATCAAACGCATTGCTGTCAGGTGGGAACTGACTGATAGCTCAGTCAAAGCTGACTGTCCAGAGGGTTTTTAGAGGATGCAAATCACACAGGAAAAGATTGCCCATCTTTCTCCTTCAGAATAACTGGTGGATTCAAACCACTTGCCTTTGGGTTGGCAGTACAACTTCTTACCCACTAGGTCACCTAAGCTTAAATGCAACACTATACCTTCCCTGTATATGCTGTTGTTGTTTGGTACTGTCTTGTTGGAACTACACTTTCCCAGAAGCACTGGCTGGTCAAGGCCTGAGTGCTTAAATAGTTTTGGGACAGAGCGTTGAAAACGGGAGTCACCTTGGCCCCACACAACACAGGTATGCCCACTTTCCCAGACTCACTCTCAGAAGAATGGGGATTTCAGAACACTTAATTGTGCTTACGTGAAACCTATACTTGGACTAGGAAGCAGTTGTCAGAATAGAGCAAGGAAACACTGCATGGTTCAAAATTAGGAAGAGTGTATATATTCCAGGGATTTGTCCTGTCCCCAAAGTTTTTCAATCTATATGAGGAACAGATTATATGGGAGGCTAGGGTTTATGAGGAGAAATGTGGCATCAGGATTAGGGGAAGACTCATCAACCGTCTGCATTATGCAGATGACAAGCACTTGGTGGAGAAGATCAACGACTACCAACCTTCAATAGGGATTGAAACTGAACATCAAGAAAACGAAGATCCTCACCACTGGGCCAATTGGCAGCATCATGATAGATGATGAAGAGATTGAGATTGTCAACAGCTTCAGTTTGCTTGGCACCACTGTCAGCACTCTTGGTACCAGCAGCCAGGAAATTAAAAGATGAATTGCATTGGGAAAATATTCTGTTAGGGACCTCCCCAGAGTTCTGAAGAGCAACAGTGTCAGTCTGGAGAGTAAGGTGTGCCTGAAACAGGTCATGGTCTTTGCTAGGCATCAGAAAGCTGGACAGTGACTCGGTATGGTAGAAGGAAAATTGATGCCTTTGAGCTGTGGTGCTGGAGAAGAGTATTGAATATACAATGCACTGCTAGGAGAACAAGCAACTTCGTCTTAAAGAGAGTGAAACCAGACTCCTCATTGGAGTCAAGGATTCTGAAGCTTCATCTGACATACTTTGGGCATGTTTCAAGGAGGGACCAGTCCTT